GTTTTCAATTTCGTTTCATTGGAAAGTCAGATACACAGAGTAGAAGAGAGACAGAGAGGAAGATCTTCCATCCCCCGGTTCACTCCCAAAGTGGCCAAAACAGCCAGAGCTGAGCTGAGTTGATCTGAAGCCTGGAGCCTCTTCCGGGTCCCCCACTCAGGTGCAGGGTCCCAAGGACTTGGGCTGTCCTCAAACTGTTTTTCCAGGCCACTAGCAGGGAGCTAGATGGGAAGTGGTGCCACAGGGAGACAAACTGAAGCCCACATGGGATCCCAGCATGTGCAAAGTAAGGACTTTAGCCACTAGGCTACTGCGCTGGGGCCCAACTCCATCTTCGAAACCCATATGAGTAAGCCTGAATAGAACAGGAATTTTCTCCAGTATAATTTCTGAACTCTTAAAGCTGCCTTCCTATTTGACTGTTGCCTTCACTTTTTCCAAGGCAGCAAGACTCAGAAATACGTATGTATGTCCTCTGGGCCCAGGAGTCGGTGTCCAGACAGAGGGAAGGTGTGCCTGGGTCATGCCAGAGATTTCCCCACACCAATACACCTTGTCTAATGCCGCTGATAAGAACGTCATTATAAGGATTTATTCCAATATCCCACCCTGGACCCTGCGCCATTTCTTCTTCCTCACAGCTCACGGGATTCGCGCCAGTGCAGCCATCCACCAATCAGATGTAACCTGGTATTCCACCTGAGAATCCCACCCCCAATCTCCCAGCCCCTTCCCCAAACCCGCCCACTCGCCAATCATCCCCAGGCATTCACCTGCAGGCACCAATCCCCTGGGGCCTTGACCTCAATCCCTCCCAATCCCCGCCCCCCACACCTGGCAGACAAAAAAGGCCCCCAGGTGCGGTTCGCCCCTTTTTTGCTCTCTCTCTCTTCCTCTCCTTGGTTCCTCTCCCCTGCTCTTCCTCCCTTCCCTCCCCTTCCCCTGTTCCTGCCCCACTCAGTTCTCTCTCTCTCTCTCTCTCTTGCTCTCTCGCTCTCTCTCTCTTGCTCTTGCTCTCTCCTTGGTTCCTCTCCCCTGCTCTCCCTCTCCTCCTTCTTACCTCCCTTCCCCCTCCTTCCCCTTCCCCTTTTCCTGCCCCGCTGGAATAAACTTCCTAGGATAATGTCGTTGCGTCTGGTGTTTTCAGCTCACGGTAAAGAACCAGGTTGCGAGAATTAGCTGCGCGTAAAGTATCTTAATATCGTATAACCTAGAAATAGAACTCTTACATTCTTTTAAATAACTAACATTTGGTGCCGTGACCGGTCGGTTTCCCCCGGCACTTGGCCACGTGGCCTTCGGGCCTTTGGCCACTACCGGGACCCGAACCGTGAGAACTGTGATCAGTGTTAACTGTCTTCATCTGCGCCACCGAGACTCGTCAGCAGCCATCAGAATCCGTCTCCATCTGCCTGCTGGTTCGTGAATTCATCTTCAACGGCCTGTTCCTGATTTCGCCTGCTGGTTCCAGAATTCTCTACCTCCACGTGGCCGTTCCTGAGTTCATCTAACTTGACCGTGCTGGCATCTGCATCCATCCAGCAGCAACGTTGCCCAGACGCGTGCTCCCCGGTACTCCATCTCCACGCGGAGCACACGAGGTATTCCCCATCTTTCCGAATGCCACGTTGTTGCATGCATACACTGTTGTAGATAGGGTTGCCTTCCTCAGCCCTTGGAGTTTTGGGTTTGGCTTGGCATATTTGTGCTCCTCTGAATAGGTCTGATTTTCCACTTCTGGGAGTTTTTGGGAGACCGGTTCTGTAAACCACTGGGTCGTTTTTACGGACCACTGGGTCCACCATGGTAAACCCCAGCCGGGTGCCGTGTCTCTTAGCCACTGGGCGGAAGTCCCCCGACCACTGGGTCACTCTGGGGGCCCCCCTGTACCTCCAAGTCGGGCCACTGGGCCGTTAACGACTTCGGATACAGGTGGTGTTTGGGGACCTGGCTCGTCCCTTACGTAGGGGGTGACGACCTTCTACGAGAGCCGTCTTTTCCTGACCACTGGGTCGCTTTTACGGACCACTGGGTCCACCATGGTAATCAGGCCTGAGTTGTAATAATGGGAGCTATTTCTTCATCGCCAGTTCCTCCCAACACCCCTTTGGGCTGCCTTCTAGCAAATTTAGACACCCTTTAATTGGCTTGTTACCTAAAACTTTAATACGCCTCTGTGATGTGGATTGGCCCCAGTATTCCCATAACTCCTTCAAGTGACCAGTTAATGGCATTTCGCATCCGGACATGTTTCGGAACCTAGCTCATTGCTGCATGCATTCGGAAAAATCGGGGGAAGTCTCATTCCCTCTTCACTCTCGGCTTTCTGTCTGTCTTTTCCGTAGTTTTCTAGCTATGAAGTAGGAAACCCCAGTGCCCTCTTCCAGGGCCCTGGTGCCACGTGCAACCGCCATCTTGTCCTCCATGTGCAGTCAACCCCCACCCTCTCCCTCTGTCCGCCATCTTGCCTCTTCTCTCCCTGCCATCCCCCACTGTTTGAAGGTCTCCATTTGCTCCCCACTGGGAAGCAAAGATTTCCTGTTTAAAACTTTTCTGTTTTAGCCCTTCGCCTAACTTGCTCTCCCAGTTTCTTTTGTCTTGACCACATCCAAACATCCTAAGGGCCTACATTTTTGTAGCTTTCCCTCCCACCCCTTAGCAGAGAGGGGTGGAGTAAGAGATAAGTGATTTAGCCTTTCCTTTTAAAAAAAAAGGAAAAGAAAAAGTGCAACTTGTTCTGTAACTTAATGTAATGTGAAGTAAATAGATGCTTACGTTTGTTTCTAGGTTCCAATAGATACTATTGCATCCATTGCAGATAGAGCTAGAGTTAAACAGTAAGCTACAGGTTCCAACTGAAAGCATCTTTAATTTGGGTTTCTGAGAGCAAGATCTAATTCTAAATAACTGGTAACTTTAAACTGATAACTTTAAAGCATTTTGAAACTTTAAACTTGTTTTTCAAAGGCTGTTACGAAAGCTGTTTTGTTTTATAATGTATGTTAATTGATATACATGAACATGTTTACTTGGTAAGCTATGTAACCTATTCTAATTGACTTATACATGAGAATTGCTAAGTTAAATCTCTTCATTTTGTAAATAATTCCTTGAGATTAGGGCCACAGAGAAATCCTCCAACTTAGAATGCTTGAGCAAGTATAGGTGCTGTATAGATGCTAGATTCTTAACTACCCTGGATGTTAGGACAGAACTTTAGAAACTTACAAATGGGACCTGAACGTACCCTGATATCCTCTTAAAGGGGTCACTATGGTCTTTTACCTTAAAGACCAGGAGGGGATCCCATGGCAGAGCAGGATGAGAGAGGTGTGTGCTCCTGGTTCCAGTGAGACCCCCGGAGGCCTCCCAAGTGCTCTTCGTTGCAGAAGCAATGGACACTTCGCCAAGAATCATCAGAAAGGACACCCAGGGCCGTGTCCCAGCTACCAAGGAGGTCACTGGAGATGTGACTGCCCCTGAAGGCCAAGTACTTCAGGTCAGTCATTTCCCATTGGATCTCCCACATGGGACGGAAGCAGCCCTGGAACCTGCACAGTGCACAGGCTCAAGGCCATCCACGGACTTCGGTGACACCACGGGACAGCATCCAAGAGCCACGGGTGGTTCTCACAGTGGAAGGGAAAACTGCAAGTTTCCGTATGGACACTGCCTTCTCTATCCTAGCTAGATGGGAAGTGGTGCCACAGGGAGATAAACTGAGGCCCACATGGGATCCCAGCATGTGCAAAGTAAGGACTTTAGCCACTAGGCTGCTGCGCTGGGGCCCAAATCCATCTTCGAAACCCATATGAGTAAGCCTGAATAGAACAGGACTTTTCTCCAGTATAATTTCTGAACTCTTAAAGCTGCCTTCCTTTTTGACTGTTGCCTTCACTTTTTCCAAGGCAGCAAGACTCAGAAATACGTATGTATGTCCTCTGGGCCCAGGAGTCAGTGTCCAGACAGAGGGAAGGTGTGCCTGGGTCATGCCAGAGATTTCCCCACACCAATACACCTTGTCTAATGCCGCTGATAAGAACGTCATGATTCCATTCATTTTCTAAAAGAACACTGCGGAGCACAAGGAAGGGAACCGACATCACCCACTCCCTCTGCACACACAGGGACATCTGCTGGGCTGCTGCGAGCAGAGCTTTCAGCCAGTGTCTTCTCCTTGAACTCTTGAGCTCAGGTTCCTCCCCTGCCCGAACCTTTGATCTTCGCGGCTCAGAGAAGCAATTATTTGTGGCGATAAGGAAATCAGTTTCAGAGCTGAAGGAGCGTGCCCTAGACTAATGCGGGGCAGATCTCAGCGTGCAGACTCATAAAGCCCTATCCCTAGGCATACATCCTCCTTGTACACAAACTGTGACATGATTCGTGCTTGTGTCTGAGGAGTCTCCTGGGGGTGGGGAGTGGGGAGTGGGGTTCGGAGGAGGCGCTGCATCGAGTGAGCTTGCAGGGGTCAGCAAAGGGCAACGGGATGCAAGGTCCGCGACCGGGGTTAAAAGTGCTGCTGCGAGGAGACTCCGCGTGCGATTCCACGAGTCTGACAAAGTTTGCTGCGGGAGGTCAGGACGGGACTCGGGGCCCTGGAGAAAAACACATCGCTTTGCCTTAAAAGGAGCCCCCGTGGTTCCTCTGAGTTGGGGGGAGGCGGGGTGGGGGGAAGAAAGCGCCGCGCACTTGGCCATCCACCCAGCGGCCCCGCGCGCCGTCCGAGAGGCGGCGGTAGGGAAGCGCTCGGTGCGCGCAGCCAGCGAGTGGCACAGCAGGCACCACCGGGGGTGCCTCCCGCCCCGCTGGCTGGCGTTCCTCGGGCAGCCGCCCCGCCTTCGCGGCTCCCGGCCACCCTCTGCTGCTCGGGGTGGGGCCTTGAGGCCGGCTCGGGGGAGGGAGGATGCGGCCGGCACTGCCCCGGGGTGGGAGGCGAGGCGGCTGGGCGGTGCGCCCTGGGCAGCCCGAGCCGTGCGCCGTCGCCGCCGCGTCGCTGTAACCGGACACCCCGAGCGCTCGCCGGCACTTTTCCATTCACTGCGCGTGCGGTGCCTGATTGAGCCAGGCCGAGAGAACCGGCGCCGGGTGCCGCGGTCCCCCCCAGGATTCCTCTACAAAAGACACTCCGTGGACCACTCGAGGGAAATCCTCTCGGAATTCAAGGGCGGCCGGCCACGCGCGTCATCCCACCCGGCGGCACCTGGACGACTTTTCCGCGCGATTTTCTTCTCCTCAACGTGGGTAAGCTGCGCTGGATCTTTCCAGCTTTTACACCCGGAGCGCCAGCCCCGCATCTGTCCCTCCCCACCCCCCTCCTCGGGGCTGCTGGCTGACTTTTCCGAACCGCGGTGGCGAGCTGCGGGGCGCACGCGGGCTTCTGGGGGTGCGCTCTTCTGGCCGGGGAGCGAGGCTGGAGGGGTTGGTTGCTCCCCGGCTCCTACACCTGCGAGCGGTTTAAATGGCTAGTGTGCCCTTTCAAGGCGAAAAATCGCTCCGGACGACTCAGCGCTTCCCCTGAGTGTCCCGGGTCTCCAAGTGCTTGCAAGAGAGAGGAGTTGCGAGTGCTGGCTGGGGGCGTGGGCAGTGCGTGAAAGAAATCGGCTTTCTGTCTTTTTTTTTTTTTTTCAGGCAGACGGGGTTTAAATCTCTTACCCCGGGCGTCCTTCAGTCCTCAGTCTTCTTACTGTTTGCTACTGGAGGCTCTTTAGAAAGACAGCGATGAGAGTAGATTTGGTAAAGGCATGCTATCCGTATGAACAGCTTTTAAGAAAAAGGACTCCTCCAGTTAACAGGACCAAGAAGTAGAGCAGTACTCATGAAATCAATTTTCTTCCAAGTTAAATTTACCAGTGGCAGGGTGAAGCGGTGGTGCAAGCAGGGAGACACTTTCTTTTTGAAAATCACCAACCCAAACATCTAGGGGTTTCCCCAGCTGCGTGGCCAGGGAGGGGTCCAGTTCGCACCTGCTCCACTGAGAACAGCAGCTCGGGATTTGACATAAAAGATTGCAGGCTCATTTGGGCTGTTCCTCCCTCCCCGTGTTAAAGGAGCAGCGTTTTCGGTGGGACTTCAGTACATCAAATGAATGCTGGGATTTTAACGTGAAAAAAGCCCTCCAAGCTTAGACGGTCAGCCTTGTATCTTGAACAAGAAATTCTAAGTGGACCTGTCATGCCATTTTTAAAAATTTTTTTTTTCCCTGAATCAGAGACTCGTGCATGCCAACTGATACTTTTTTGGTGTGTGTGTGGAGTTTCTTTGGCGCAGCGTGGCCACTAGAGTTCCTGTAGATTGCTCCTGACACACGGCCTGATCTTTTTGGCTGTTCAGACGTTCTTGAATCCTTCTCGATTTTTCTAGCCACGGTGTCAAGCCGGAATTCTCATCTGAGTTACGGTTTTGGGGATTTTTGACAACCCAATTTCGGCTTGATTTATTTAAGATGGGTCTTGGTGTAGCTACTGGGTTCCCCGGATTACTCACCACTATGTCATTGCTTTTGGACTTGGCCCCGGTCCATGGTTACCTCATCGACAGCGTTGAACAGCTGCCGGGTCATCTGGATAAAATGGCCTATAATTGAGTCTGGCCATTTCAGCCCTCCAGGATTGAACACACTTAGATCTACTGGGAGAAACCCCCTATCAAAGATAAGCTGTGCACCAATATGTTCGAAGAATTTCTCTGCTACCATTTCATGCAGAGAAAATGAGGTGGTTTTTTTTTTTCTTCTTTTTTCTTAACTAGGCAGTACCTCATGGGTCATATTCTAAAGTCAGTTTCACAGAGTGGCTTTTTAGAGAGATCATTTAAAATGCCTATGCAAACCGGGTGTCTTGTCTTTGCTACTCTGCACCGGCGTCTATCATGCGGAAAGATGAAACGGGTTTTTTTTTTTTTTCTGGTTGCAAAGAGTTCTTGAGACAAATGCAGCCAGCCAATGCACACTTTTGTCCCCTGCAAGCTGCAATGTCACAGCACCTCCTGCCGCCTGTAGGGCTGCACAAGCGGAGACGCGTCTGGCGTCAACAGCGCGTGGTGTCTAAGGTGGGTCCTGAAACGTGACGTGGGAGATGTCACACGTGTTGTTCTCTGTCTTTTGAAGGTCTCCTCGCGTGGATATTCACGGGCTCCTCCGACGGCATGGCGTTCCGGGGGATTTGTCTGTTGATTGGAGCACTTGTCTGTTCTGTCTCTGGGAACGGATCTTCCCAGCCACAAGCAAGAGTGTATTTAACCTTCGATGGTAAGAGACGCGAGACACACACGTGGGGGAAGACGTGACTCAAAGATTTTTTTTTTCCCCTTTCTTATCCATACTCAAACTTGAATGAATGAATGAATGATAGCGAAATATTACCAAAACTTTCCTAATTTAAATATATATATGTATATTTAACGGACTGCTTTTTCGGATGATATGACACATTTAAATCATTAGGGCGGTAGAGGAAAGCCTTCCTGTACATTTGAGGCTGTGTTCATGAAAGTTCGTGAACTTTCCTTTGCTGTTGGCCCCTAGAGGGATGGGAAGTGGCGGAGGCCTAACTGGTTAAGGTCAAGTATTCGCCTGGCCCTCTGGAAGCATCCCCAACTTTGGCCGTGTTGGTTGACTGTAAACAGTTCGGGGCATTGGTCTCCACCGCTTTGTTCCGACCGTACTTTTAATATAAGCGTCTCCAGTGGTTGGGAGAGCACCCTGGTGAAGGGCCAGGGCATTGAAGAGCATCTTTGAAAATGTGCCTTTGGATGGCTGTGTGCAAACGCTGCTTTCAGAAGGCTAAGGCCAATGGATGCGATATTTGCGCACAAGTACGAGGTCTGGAGAGGGGATCATTTGCCACGTTTGAGCATGGTTCACGCGGCTTACAGGTGGGTGGTTTTCGGTTTGAGTTCAGTAGGCTATCCGAATCGGACAGATGGAAGCAGGACCGGTTAAAAGGTCACTACCTTGCTCATCTGAATCCTTTAATTATGTCTTTGAACTCTGCATGCAGAAGCGTCCTGCTTGTGCTCAGCTCACTAATGATGGAAATTCACACGCACGGCTCTGCCATGCTCCAAGTTATCTCAGATCCCAAATAGCAGCGTGGCTGACAACTTCTCAGTCCAAGGACTCTTTTTCTTCCCCCTTTCGTTTGAACTCAGCCAGTGCTTTGCCCAAGGTCACCGCCAAGTGCTCAAGAAACCGTAGGGTTAGAACTCAAGTGTGTGCGAGATGCTAATTGCTCGCTTGGCCTCCAAGCCAGGCATCCCTTTGAGATGCTGCGCAGCGATGTTGCTAAGAATGGGGCGAACAGAACCCCTTGAAGTGGTCCTTTTGTGTTCCTTAATTCTTCACTAAAAGCATCTAGGGGTCGCTCACGCTTTGCCTTCCGTGTTGAGAGCCGCGGATTATTTTAAAGAAAAGGCATTTGGGGGTTCACCTGTCGCCAGGTTCTCTCTGTATCTCTTTCGGGGACTATCTTGATGCAGTGGTAGTCCGGTTCCTGCATTGTAGTTTCTGGGGAAGGATGACATTGTGGAATTCTCAGAACACTGGCTTATCATTTTATATCCCACGTGAGCGATACAGCGTCTTACTCTGGGAGAGTCCACGTTGTGATGGAGGGCAATTAAAAATAGCACGTCTGGTATCTTGGCGTTTTTCATTGCTGTTGTTTTTCATAATTCAGTTTTGTAGCCTAGGGATGTCACGCCCCTCCTCCACTCTCCCTCCCCATTTTCCCTTCTACTTCCTCCCGTGTGATTACTGTGGAATAGAGTAACAGTTACTACAGCATTGTAGTTATAGCAAACGGGAGAAAGTCTAGCATCGAATTTTTAAATTCCATCCTGGGCCTGGTGCGGTAGCCTAGTGGCTAAAGTCCTTGCCTTGATGCACAGGGATCCCATACGGGTGCGGGTTCATGTCCCGGCTGCTGTACTCCCCCCCCCCTCCAGCTCCCTGTTTGTGGCCTGGGAAATCAGTGGAGGATGGCCCAAAGCCTTGGGACCCTGCACCTGCATGGGAGACCCAGAAAAAGCTCCTGGCTTCTGGCTTCGGATCAGCTCAGCTCTGGCCGTTGTAGCCATTTGGCGAGTGAACCTGAGGATGGAAGCGCTTTTTCTCTCTGTGTCTGTAGATCTAAGTTTCCAATAAAAATGAATCTGATTTTTTAAAAAAAAAGTCCCTCCTCTCTTCTCATCACTGTATAGTATAGCAATCATTGTCCTAGGCAGTTAATTTGTCAAAGTAGTTTTAAAACTTTACACATCTTTATGGTCTCCTAATGCCTTGCCTCTGGGCATTTTTACCCTGAGGTCTGCCCTCATTAACCCCGACCTCTGACCTCTGGTCCTTTGTCTTTTCCTAATTAGAACATTAGAAGAATCTAGTAAGTTTGTTCTCATGGGCAAGCCAAGCAAGCATTATAATCAATTTCAAGATAAGGGAGGTGAGAGAGGGTTTTTGCTCCCACCCACGTTCGCTCCATCCTTCTTGGGGAGGTTGGATGGAATGATAACATTTGGAGAAGTGATTTACCGAGTTGCTTCTCCTATTGATCTGGGCCAGGGTCAACCAGATGGCCTTCGGTCCTTGGGAGCAGGCACTTCACATGTTATTAATTAGTTACATTTGTGCTAGCTAAAGCTCCACGTTAAAGAGGACTGTGCTTCCAATGGCTAATATCACTTTGGGGATTCTCATTCTTTGTGCAATAAATACTCAGTCTAATGAATATAAGTCCTTATGAATGCTCTTGGTTGAAGTTCAACTTTGGTTGGAAAAAAAAAAATCCCAATCGACGGACAGAGTCATATTTCTCAAAATGATTACCTTTGCCCATCCCCCGCCCCTCCCCAGCAGAAAGCTTTGGGATCCCGAAAAATCGCTGGGAAAGCCATCATTTTGTAGATACAATAGTTGGACCGAATTCTGCTTGCTCATGTAGAAGAGAAGGCATCGTGGAAAGGTCCAACCGAGCCTTTTTCCAGTAGAGATTTTGGGATCCGTTACCTTGTGAGAATCATTAGCTTTTTTTTTTTTTGGAAATTTATCCCAAGTTTTGGACTTTGGATAATCTATTGCTGGATCATTGTTCTGTTTTCCAATTCTTTCCTTTTTTTTTTTTCCAGTCTTTTTTTTTTTTAACTTTTTCCATTGTTTTTTTTTTTATTATATTTTTGACATTCTTTCCATAGTTAATTAGAGCAAAAAGGTTCAAGGGCTACAGCAAAGAGGGTAAGACTATATTTCCATATTGTTTCCTTCCTGTATCTGAGGGAGAAGCCCCACCCAGTCTCCCTTTTGATATTCAATTGATAAGGCTCTAAAATTCATTATCACAGGAGTTTAGTTCCTTCTAATTTCTTCTTGAAACATGAATTTCTAGTGTGTTCTTCTCTCAGGGCCTTGTTAATATGAAAGTCTAGCCATTGATTTCAGGAATTTCTTCTCATTGCTGTATTCAACTGTATTCATTGCTATAAATTTTCCTCTCAGTACTGCTTTAGCTGCAACTTACATATCTTGAGCAAACTACCTTTAGGTTTCTAGTATGTTCAATTTGTTTTAATCCTGTTGCTGTTGTATGCTTTCATATGGATGTTATTCAGAAATACATAAATCATGAACCTTGGCGTAGTCTCATGTGTTCTATGACATACGGTCAACATTACAAAAAATTACATAAGTGTATTCTTCTTTTACTGTTTTGTGTTCTGTTAATGATAATTAGGGCCAATCAATTCAGATTGCTTCTGTGCTCTCAATGTTTTTCTCTTTCTTTGTTTTAATTACTAATAGAAATGGTTAAACTCTCCAACCGTACCATGGGAGTATTTAGCTTGATTCTTCAGTTGTATCCGTTTTTGCTTCACGTTTTTTAAGTTGCTCTGCTTGAGCCCAGATAAATCTAGAATGCTCTCTGACTAATTTCCCATCCTGAAATATCCTTGATTTTTCCTGGTAACAGCCCTCACAGGGACATGTGCTTTGGGTGCAGGAAACACTTTTTTTTTTAATAGAATGGATGTATATTGACAAATGGGATATAACGGAGCGTGAGAACATGGATCCTGAATTTTGATGGGTTCTGGTGTTCTGATGAAAAGATGGGGAAGTATTTTTGATAGATGTGTGATTTTTATATTGATCGAGCGAGAGCTGTACCGAAGAGGTTATGAAGATAGCAGCTGGATTAAGAGCGGAACTGTCAGGACAAATAGCGCTGCTCAAACAGCACCCTGGCACCGCAGGTGGAGTCTTAGCCGCTTTTCTCAGTTTGTAGAAATGACACCTCCTTTGAAGAAACCTGCAATTATTTCCTCCTTTCAGAAATAGCTAGTGATGGACCAGGCGGTGTGAAAGCACAAAAATAAATATATTTTAAAATGCATGACTCTGGAATCGGACGGGTTTAAAATAGCTGTTTTCTGCTAGTTTCTGAATATACTCGCAGAGAGAGGGGACACGCGCACAGATGTACACACACACACACACAAACACACAGGGAGAGAGAGAGAGGGAGGTGGCAAAGGAGAAAAAGAGAGAGGGAGAGAGAGACAGAGAGAGAGAACCATTTGCTGGTTCATTTCCATAGAAGTCCATGATTTCCAGGGCTGCACGAGGCCTAAGCAAGGAGCCAGGAGTTTCATCCCTGTCTCCCCACCGAGTGACAGTGGTGCAAACACATGGGCCATCTTGATTTGTTTCTCCCACACCATCAGCAGGGAGCTGGATCAGAAGCAAATCAGGGCCCAGCGGCGTGGCCTAGCGGCTAAAGTCTTCATCTTGAACGCCCCGGGATCCCATAGGGTCACCAGTTCTAATCCTGGCAGCTCCACGTCTCATCCAGCTCCCTGTTTGTGGCCTGGGCAAGCAGTCAAGGATGGCTCGGGGCTTTGGGACCCTGCACCCGCACGGGAGACCCAGAAGAGGTTCCTGGATCCCGGCTTCGGATCGGCACAGCACCGGCCGTCGCGCTCACTTGGGGAGTGAATCATCGGACGGAAGATCTTCCTCTCTGTCTCTCCTCCTCTCTGTGCATCTGACTTTGTAATAAAAAATAAATCAATCTTAAAAAAGAAGCGAATCAGCCGGGACAGGAACCATCACCCATACAGGATAAGAGCAGCGGGTGGCTTTGCCTCCTGCGCCAAAGCACTGTTCTTCAAGAGTGAATTTGATGATTAGCCAGTGGCACTTTCTCTTAGCCAAAGAAGTTACTTGTCTCTGATACAATGACTTCTTTTTTTCTAGAA